ATGAATATGAACATTGACTGATACAGATCCGATCCCGATACCGACTGAATATCAGCCAATACAGATCCAATCCCGATACCAAAATTGCGTATATCGGCCGTAACAGATCCGATACCAAAATTCTGAGTATCGATAGATACAGATCTGATCCAGATACCAAATTTGCAAATATCGGCTGATACAGATCTGATCATGATACAGATCCGATCCCGATACCAAAATTGCGAATATCGGCCGATACAGATCCGATCCCGATACAAAAATTCTGAATATCAGCCGATACAGATCCGATCCCGATACAAAAATTCTGAATATCAGCCGATACAGATCCGATCCCGATACAAAAATTCCGAATATCGACTGATACAAATCTGATCCTGATACCAAAATTCTGAGTATCGATTGATACAGATCTAATCCGGATACCAAAATTGCAAATATCGGCTGATACAGATCCGATCCCGATAAAAAGTTGTGAATATCGGCCGATACAGATCCAATCCCGATAAAAAATTCCGAATATCGACTGATACAAATCTGATCCTGATACTAAAATTCTGAGTATCGATCGATACAGATCCAATCCCGATACCAAAATTGCAAATATCGGCTGATACAGATCTGATCATGATACAGATCCAATACTGATACCAAAATTGTGAATATCAGCCGATACAGATCCGATCCCGATACCAAAATTCCGAATATCAGCCAATACAGATCCGATCCCGATACAAAAATTGTGAATATCAGCCGATACAGATCTGATCCCGATACAAAAATTCAGAATATCGACTGATACAAATCTGATCCTGATACCAAAATTCTGAGTATCGATCGATACAGATCTAATCCGGATACCAAAATTGCAAATATCGGCTGATACAGATCCGATCCCGATACAAAAATTGTGAATATCGGCCGATACAAATCTGATCCTGATACCAAAATTCTGAATATCAGCCAATACAGATCCAATCCTGATACCAAAATTCTGAATATCGGCCGTAACAGATCCGATACCAAAATTCTGAGTATCATCTGATACAGATCTGATCATGATACAGATACGATACTGATACCAAAATTGCGAATATCGGCAGATATAGGATCCGATCCCGATACCAAAAATCTGTGTGTGTGTGTGTGTGTGTGTGTGTGTGTGTGTGTGTGTGTGTGTGTGTGTGTGTGTGTGTGTGTAGAGGATGGTGGCAGGAAGACTCCAGCAGACGGCTCAGACAGGAAGCCTCGAGGTGTGCGTCAGGGTTACGTCCACAAGCCCTTCCTGTATTCTCGTTACTATAGCGACTCTGATGACGAGGTGACGGTGGAGCAGCGGCGGCGCTCTGTGGTGAGAACACACACACACACACACACAATATTCTATTATCCTGCTGCTGTTGATGCGTAGTGTGTAGAGTTCCAGAAGTCTGGCCAGGCTGATTAAGGTGTGTTTGTCTGCACAGGCTAAAGAGAAAGAGGAGCGCCTGCTGAAGCGGCAGCAGAACCGCGAGCGCATGGAGGAGAAGCGCAGACTCAGAGCAGCCCAGAGAGAGGAGCAGGGTACTGCCAGTGTGTGTGCGCGCGTGTGTGTGTGTGTGTGTGTGTGTGTTCTGATCTCTGATGTGTTCTGTGTGCAGAGCGTAAGAAACAGGCGAGTGTGTGTGCGGATGCAAGACCTCGAGCTAAAGAGGCTCGAAAAGAGAAGAAGTTCCTGGAGAAGAAGGTGGCTCTGAGCCGGCAGAGGAAGAGAGACTCCAGGTGTGTGTGTGTGTGTGTGTGTGTGTGTGCGTGCGTGCGTGTGTGTGAGGGGACCAGGCGCTGAATAAACTCTCACTGACTCTCTCCTTTAGAAAAGAGGACGACAGGAAGAGGAGCGACACTGAAGGAGACTCACTCAACAAAGAGGTAAGGGCCCTCATTCTCCAGCTGCTCCCTATCTGGCCCTTACTAGTGAACCCTAGTGTCTCTCTCTCATTACTGAACACTTGTGCCAGTCCCTCAGTGGTAAACACTTATATCAGTCCCTCAGTAGTGAACACTAGTGTCAGTCCCTAAGTAGTGAACACTTGTGTATCTCCCTCAGTAGTGAACACTCCTGTCTCTCTTAGTAGTGAATCTTTGTGTCAGTCCCTCAATAGTAAACACTAGTGTCAATCCTGTTTCTCCCTCAGTTGTGAATACTAGTGTCAGTCCCTCAGTAGTGAACACACCTGTCTCTCTATCAGTAGTGAACACTAGTGTTTCTGCCTCAGTAGTCAGCACTAGTGTCAGTCCCTCAGTAATGAACACTGGTGTCAGTCCCTCGGTAGTGAACACTGGTGTCAGTCCCTCAGCAGTGAACACTAGTGTCAGTCCCTCAGTAGTGAACACTGGTGTCAGTCCCTCTGTTGTGAACACTACTGTCAGTCCCTCTGTTGTGAACACTGGTGTCAGTCCCTCAGTAGTGAACACTGGTGTCAGTCCCTCAGTAGTGAACACTAGTGTCAGTCCCTCTGTTGTGAACACTGGTGTCAGTCCCTCAGTAGTGAACACTGGTGTCAGTCCTTCGGTAGTGAACACTGGTATCAGTCCTTCAGCAGTGAACACTAGTGTCAGTCCCTCAGTAGTGAACACTGGTTTCAGTCCCTCTGTTGTGAACACTGGTGTCAGTCCCTCAGTAGTGAACACTGGTGTCAGTCCTTCGGTAGTGAACACTGGTATCAGTCCTTCAGCAGTGAACACTAGTGTCAGTCCCTCAGTAGTGAACACTGGTTTCAGTCCCTCTGTTGTGAACACTGGTGTCAGTCCCTCAGTAGTGAACACTGGTGTCAGTCCTTCGGTAGTGAACACTAGTGTCAGTCCCTCAGTAGTAAACACTGGTTTCAGTCCCTCTGTTGTGAACACTAGTGTCAGTCCCTCAGTAGTGAACACTGGTGTCAGTCCCTCATTAGTGAACACTGGTGTCAGTCCCTCTGTTGTGAACACTGGTGTCAGTCCCTCAGTAGTGAACACTGGTGTCAGTCCCTCAGTAGTGAACACTAGTGTCAGTCCCTCTGTAGTGAACACTGGTGTCAGTCCCTCTGTTGTGAACACTGGTGTCAGTCCCTCAGTAGTGAACACTGGTGTCAGTCCCTCAGTAGTGAACACTAGTGTCAGTCCCTCTGTAGTGAACACTGGTGTCAGTCCCTCTGTTGTGAACACTGGTGTCAGTCCCTCAGTAGTGAACACTGGTGTCAGTCCCTCAGTAGTGAACACTAGTGTCAGTCCCTCTGTTGTGAACACTGGTGTCAGTCCCTCTGTTGTGAACACTGGTGTCAGTCCCTCAGTAGTGAACACTGGTGTCAGTCCTTCGGTAGTGAACACTGGTATCAGTCCCTCAGTAGTGAACACTGGTTTCAGTCCCTCTGTTGTGAACACTGGTGTCAGTCCCTCAGTAGTGAACACTAGTGTCAGTCCCTCTGTTGTGAACACTGGTGTCAGTCCCTCTGTTGTGAACACTGGTGTCAGTCCCTCAGTAGTGAACACTGGTGTCAGTCCTTCGGTAGTGAACACTGGTATCAGTCCTTCAGCAGTGAACACTAGTGTCAGTCCCTCAGTAGTAAACACTGGTTTCAGTCCCTCTGTTGTGAACACTAGTGTCAGTCCCTCTGTTGTGAACACTGGTGTCAGTCCCTCAGTAGTGAACACTGGTGTCAGTCCCTCAGTAGTGAACACTGGTGTCAGTCCCTCTGTTGTGAACACTGGTGTCAGTCCCTCAGTAGTGAACACTGGTGTCAGTCCCTCAGTAGTGAACACTGGTGTCAGTCCCTCAGTAGTGAACACTAGTGTCAGTCCCTCAGTAGTGAACTCACCTGTCTCTCTATCAGTAGTGAACACTAGTGTTTCTGCCTCAGTAGTCAACACTAGTGTCAGTCCCTCAGTAGTGAACACTGGTGTCAGTCCCTCGGTAGTGAACACTGGTGTCAGTCCCGCAGTAGTGAACACTAGTGTCAGTCCCTCAGTAGTGAATACTAGTGTGTCTCCACAGGTAAAGCCCGCAGGTCAGAGGTCAGGGCGTGTAGACGAGCAGCGCAGGAAGAAATCCGACACAGAGGAGAAACTCTGCGACAGAAACCGCGTTCACTCCTTCATCCTGGACCTGGAGTCGGGGACAGAGGAGCGGCAGAGGACTAAAACCGCTCGCAAGGAAGTGCACTTAAAAGACAAAGAGCGAAAGGATGAACACAAGCTCAAACACAAACTCAAGATGGACAGCAGAAAGTCCACAGACACCGACGAAAAAGATGGAGGAGCTGGGAAAGGAGGAGCAGAGGAGAAGAAGGGGTCAAAGGTCAAACCAGACAGGAAGAGCTCCGTGACCTCCAAAGACACCAAAACACCAGAAGCTGCGGACGAAGCGAACCTGAAGAAAGGAAAGATGGCCGCCGATGCAAAAGACAAGGAGAAACCCAAGACAAGTGGTGAGAGTGGAGACATTACGATGAAAGTAGTGTTTACATTTCGTTTTATGTAGCGACGTCTTTTATTCTCATGTTAGACTTCGGAGTTTTTAAAAAGTGTTTTATATTGTGTTAAAAATAATTTTTTATTTCTACATTTCTAAATAGAGTGAGAAATATGATCACATATGAATGAGTTTATACTTTAAAATGTAAACAGGAAACAGTTCTTTACATGCGGCGACTATATATAACGATTAATTGACTGAATTTACAGAAACGGTACTTTATCGTGACATATACCATTTATCTGTGTTATATATAAATAACGATATACCGTTATCATGATATATACCATTATCATGATATATATATATATATATAGTTAGTATGATATATACCATAATCATAACATATACCCTTATCGTAATATGTATATATACAGTATACTATACAGTTATCGTGATAGATACCGATATATCGTTATAATGCTATATACAGTTATTGTGGTGTGTATATATATCATTATCGTTATACATTCTAATTGTGATATATACTGTTATAATGATATATACAGTAATCGTGATACATATCTTTAACGTGATGCATTGTTATCGTGATATATACCATTATGATTATGTATACAGTTATCGTGATGTATATCGTTAGCATGATGCACTGTTATCTTAATATATAGCGTTATAATGATATATGCAGTTATCGTGATGTATATCATAATGAAATAAATTTATCGTAATATATATCGTTATCATGATGCATCATTATCATGATATATACCGTTATCGTGAAATATACAGTTAACGTGATACATATCATTAACGTGATGCATCATTATCATGATATGTACTGTTATAATGATATATACAGTTATCGTGATACATCGTTATCGTGATGTGTACTGTTGTAATAATATAGACAATTGTCATTAAATATATGGTTATCGTGATACATTGTTATCATGGTATATACCGTTATAATGATATATACAGTTATCATGATATATATTGTTATCGTGATACATTGTCATCGTGATATATACCATTATACTGATATATAGTTAACGTAATATGTATATCATTATCATGATGCATCGTTGTTGTGATATATATCGCTATAATGATAGATACCGTTATCTCGATACATCGTTATCATGATATATGTCATTATCAGAAAATACCGTTATTAAGATGCATCGTTATCGCGTTATAATGATATATATATAGTTATCGCAAAATATACCATTATAATTATTTATATATACAGTTATCATGATACACCGTTATAATGACAAATACAGTTATCACTATATATACCGTTAACATGATACAGTTATCGTGATACATTGTTATCGTAATGCATCGTTATTGGCACATACGTACATACTGTTGTGGTGATATGAGGTGTTTGTGCTGTAGGTAAGAGTGAGTCAAAGCTGCTACGGCGTCTGGACTCCACCGGCTCCTCGGAGGAGAGGTCAGAGGTCGAGACGGGGTCAGAGGTCAACAGGAAGAAGGACAAGCACCCTAAAGAGATGCTGAAGAGGTCAAAGAGTCACCCAGAGGTAGAGCTTCACACAGTTTCAGTGTCAAATAGGGCATTCAACGATTACCAAAAAACAACCCAAAACCCCTCCCCCTCATACAACGTTTCTTCATAAGTTCTTTAGGGCGGCGCTATTAATCATTTTTGGCGAGACTTTGTTATTTAGGGCGGGACTATCAGTTCTTTAGGGCAGGGCTATCAATCATTTTTGGCGGGATTTTGTCATTTATTGCAGGGCTATCCATCCTTTAGGGTGGGGCGATCAATTATTTAAGGCGGGACTTTGTCATTTAGGGTAGAGCTATCAGTCCTAAGGGCGGGGCTACCATTCATTTATGGTGGGACTTTGTCATTTAGAGTGGGGCTGTCAATTATTTATTGCATAGCTTTGTCATTTAAGGCGGGGCTATCAGACCTTAGGGCGGGCTATAAAAAATGAATGAAAGGACTTTATTTAGGGTGGGGCTATCAGTTCTTAGGGCAGGGCTATAAATAATTAATGGAAGGACTTTATTTAGGGTGGGGCTATCAGTCCTTAGGGCGGGGCTATAAATAATTAATGGAAGGACTTTATTTAGGGTGGGGCTATAAATAATTAATGGAAGGACTTTATTTAGGGTGGGGCTATCAGTCCTTAGGGCGGGGCTATAAATAATTTAGGTAAGGACTTTATTTAGGGCGGGGCCACCATTCATTTATATTGGGACTTTGTCATTTAGAGTGGGGCTGTCAATAATTTATTGCGGGACTTTGTCATTTAAGGCGGGGCTATCAGACCTTAGGGCGGGGCTATAAAAAATGAATGAAAGGACTTTATTTAGGGTGGGGCTATCAGTTCTTAGGGCGGGGCTATAAATAATTAATGGAAGGACTTTATTTAGGGTGGGGCTATCAGTCCTTAGGGTGGGGCTATAAATAATTTAGGGAAGGACTTTATTTAGGGCGGGGCTATCAATCATTTATGTAAGGACTTTGTCATTTTGACAAAAATAATGGTGATTCTGATTTTCCCCCATAATGCATCAGCCGCACCCTGAGGCGAGACCCGGGGAGAAGCTGAAGGTGCGAGCCGACAGGAGAGATTCATCAGTGGACAAAACTCAAGCACAGAAATCCGGCTCTGAACCCGAGGGCGACGGCCGCAAGCCAGAGACCAGCCTGAAGAGTAAAACCCTGCTGGAGAAACACAGATCCAAATCCCAGAATCCTGCTGGAGGAAAACCAGAGAGAAAAACTGAAGCCAAGAGTAAACCTGCAGAAGATAAGAGAGAGGAGAAGAAAACCTCGGAGGAGAAGCTGAGAGACACAAAGGTGAATCCATCCATCCATCCATCTTCATCACCATGATATATTGAAGTATTGACTATAACTCTGTCTCTGCACAGGTGAGGAAACTGAAGGTGCAGAAGGACTCCAAGTTCGAGGAGGAGAGTCTGGACAGCGCTGCCGTCTCCAGCTCCACACCTGTATCTGATGACCCATTCGCCGCTCTAAGCGACGTCACGCCCGAGTCAGAGGATGAGGAGGTGGAGCCAAAAGAGCCCCGCCCACTGTCAGCAGAGGCCGACGCCCTCCTGAGCCTGATGGACATCTCTGTGCGGCGGGACGTGGAGGCCGATATGAAGATGCAGGAGGCGGCGCTCACTCTGCTCTCCATGGGTCCTGATGCTGGACGCTCTTCCGATGTTGTTGCCGCAGATGATCAGGTTGCCATGCAGACGGTTGCTACGGACCCAGAGGATGCAGGAAGTCTGCCGGAATGTGCTGCGGCTGATGCAGGTAGTGCACACACACACACACACACACACACACACACACACACATTATTATTGAGTTTCTCCCAGTTGTGTTTCTGAGTTACTCTTGACGGTCAGTGATGCAGATCCAGCAGTCTGAGGGGGGATTAGATTCCTCTACAAACTTTATGGTGGTTTGAGAAAACCTCGTCTGAACGTTTGAAGAATTGGTTTTTAGGAAGTTTAAAAACAGAGAGAAATAGGTAGAGAATGTAGGTTGCTAAGGTGTTGCTAGGGTGTTCTAAGTGTTTGCTAAGCGCTTACCAAGGTGTAGCTAGGTGATTGCAATGATGTTCAAGGTGCTTGCTAAGGTGTTGCTAGGGTGTTCTGAATGGTTGCTAAGCAGTTACTGAGGTGTAGCTAGGTGATGGCTATGATGTTCTAGGTGCTTGGTAAGGTGTTGCTAGGGTGTTCTGAGTGGTTGCTAGGCGGTTGCTAAGGTGTTGCTAGGTGATTGATAGGGTTTTTTGAGTGGTTGCTAGGTGGTTACTAGGGTGGTTGGAGTGGTTGCTAGGCGGATACAAAGGTGTAGCTAGGTGATGTTCTAGGTGTTTGGTAGAGTGCTGATTGGGTGTTCTGAGTGGTTTGGCGGTTGCTAAGGTGCTACTAGGCGGTTGGTAGTTTGCTTGGAGTGTTTATAAGCGCTTACTAAGGTGTAGCTAGGTGGTTGCTATGATGATCTAGTAGCTTGCTAAGGTGTTGCTAGGGTGTTCTGAACGGTTGCTAGGCAGTTGCTAAGGTGTTGTTAGGTGATTGCTTTGGTGTTTCGAGTGGTTGCTAAGCGGTTACTATAGTGTAGCTAGGTTGTTGCTACGGTGTTCTAGCTGCTTGCTAAGGTGTTGCTACGGTGTTCTGAGTAGTTGCTAGGCAGTTGCTAAGGTGTTTTGGGTCTTTGCTAGGCATTTGCTATAGTGTTTTGAGTGGTTGCTAAGGTGTTGCTGAGCCTTTGCTAAGGTGTTGTTAGGTGGTTATTAGGGTGTTCTGAGTGGTTGCTAGCGGGTTGCTAAGATGTTGCTAGGTGGTTGTTAAGGTGTTCTGAATGATTGCTAAAGTGTTGCTATACGGTTGCTTAGGTGTTCTAGGTTGTTGTTAAGGTATTGCTAGGCGGTTACTGTGGTGTTCTGTGTGGTTGCTGAGGCGTTGCTAGGTGCTTGCTAGGCGGCTGCTAGGGTGTTCTAGGCCATTGCTAAGGCGTTGTTATACAGTTGCTAGGGTGTTCTATGTGGTTACTAAGGTGTTGCTAAGGTGTTCTGAGTGGTTGCTAGGTTGTTGCTGAGGTGTTGCTAGGCAGCTGCTAGGGTTTCCTGAGTGGTTGCTAGGCAGTTGCTTTAATAAAAATTACAGTCCTAAATAATATACTGTCAGCAAATATCGAATATGTCGAATATCAGCACGTGAACTAAACTCCTCATCTCCACTAGCTGCACCTGCCGCCACAGTGGAGCCCATGGAGACAGAATCTCTGAGGCTCCAGGAAGTGACATCACAGGTGAGCTCATCACATCATAACCTCACTGCGCCTGACTGAAGCTGTGTGATTTCTGTTGTGTACTATGTGTTGATGCTTCTTTCAGTCCGGGGATGAGCAGAAAGAGGAGAGAGACACACACACTCACACCACAGACACCGCGCAGACCCTCAGTGCAGATACAGCAGAGCCCACACTGGAGAACACTGCAGCAGACGAGCCAATGCAGACCCCCAGTGCAGACGCAGCAGAACCACTAGAACCCGTCACTGCAGCAGAACCAGCGTCACCCGTCACTGAGGATGCAGCCGAGCAGAGGCAGACCTCCAGTGCAGACGAGACTCCTGCGCAGACCCTTCCTAAACACACAGCGGAGACTCACACGCCAACCACAGTAAACCCAGCAGAACCCACAGCTGAGTCTGCGCAGATGGAGGAGTCAGATGAACCTGAACCTGTGCAGATCCTCAGTGCAGGAACAGCAGAGTCTGCGCAGACACATGCAGCAGAGGAACCTGCGCAGACACATGCAGCAGATGAGGCTGAGTCTGCGCAGACTCTTACAGCAGATACAGAGTCTGCGCAGACACGTAACGCTGATCTAAATGAGCCTGTGCTCAAGATGAATGCAGACCAAGCTGAACATGTGCAGACACACAGTGCAGATGACGCTGAGTGTGTGCAGACCCCGACTGCAGAGACCATGCGCATATATAATGCAGATGCAGATGTACCTGCGCAGACAATTCATGCAGATGAAGCTGAGTCTGTGCAGACGCCAACAGCAGAAACAGATGAACCTGTGGAGACTGCTGATGCAGATACATCAGAGCCTGCGCAGACGCTAACAGCAGATGAAGCCGACTCTGCGCAGACACATATTGCAGATACAGAGCCTGCGCAGACGCTAACAGCAGATACAGTCAAGACACTTAATGCAGACGAAGCCGAGCCAGTGCAGACTGTAGATCAAGATGAAACTGTGCAGATGGTTGATGCAGATGAAGTGGAGTCTGCGCAGACGCTAACAACAGAAACAGATGGAACTGCGGAGATGGATAACGCAGAGCCTGCGCACACACTGACAGCAAATGAGGCCGAACATGAGCTAACAGCAGATGAAGCCAAATCAGCGCAGACGCTAACAGCAGATGAAGCCGACTCAGCGCAGACGCTAACAGCAGATGAAGCCAAATCAGCGCAGACGCTAACAGCAGATGAAGCCAACTCAGCGCAGACGCTAACAGCAGATGAAGCTGAATCTGTGCAGACGCTAACTGCAGATGAAGCCGACTCAGCGCAGACGCTAACAGTAGATGAAGCCAAATCAGCGCAGACGCTAACTGCAGATGAAGCTGACTCAGCGCAGACGCTAACAGCAGATGAAGCCGACTCAGCGCAGACGCTAACAGCAGATGAAGCCAAATCAGCGCAGACGCTAACAGCAGATGAAGCCAAATCAGCGCAGACGCTAACAGCAGATGAGGCCGAACATGAGCAGACACTTAATGCAGATGAAGCAGACTCAGCGCAGACGCTAACAGCAGATGAAGCAGACTCAGCGCAGACGCTAACAGCAGATGAAGCAGACTCAGCGCAGACGCTAACAGCAGATGAAGCAGACTCAGCGCAGATGCTAACAGCAGATGAAGCTGAATCTGCGCAGATGCTAACAGCAGATGAAGCTGAACATGGGAAGACACTTAATGCAAATGAAGCCGAATCTGCGCAGATGCTAACAGCAGATGAAATCAAAACTGATCGGATGCTAGCAGCAGACACAGATGAACCTGCGCAGACGCTAACAGCAGAAACGGCAGCTCCGCCCAGCAGCAGTGGAGAGCAGGAGTCTGCAGCAGCAGCAGCGGTGAGTTCTGCTCCGTCTCTCTGTCTGTCTCTGTTGCTCTGCTGTTTGCTGAAGTGTGTGTGTGTGTGTGTGTGTCTCAGGAGGATGAGGATGGTGATGATGATGAGGAGGACACAAGAGTGAGCCGGACTCCACGCAGAGGAAGATCATCCAGAGCGGCTGAAGCTCCGCAGAGAGAAACACGTAAGAGTTTCTGTCACACACATACACAAACACACACACACACACACACACATATAGACAGACACATACATGCGCACACACAAAGACACATACAAACATATATACACACACACACACACATATATATATATATATACACACACATATAGACATACACACACATACACACGCACACACAAATAAACACACATGCAAAAACACACATATACACACACATATAGACATACACAGACACACATTCACATACACAGACACACACATATGGACATACACACACGCACACACAGATACATACACACATATATACGCACACACACATACTGACACATATATATATAAAAACACACACACATATACATATGTGCACACATATATACAAATACATGCATATATAGACGTACACACACATATACATACACACACACGCATATATATATAAATACACTCACACACTGATATACACATGCACATACATATACACGTACACACATATATACACACATGTACACATACACACACATACATATAGACGTACACATGCACATACATATACACGTACACACATATATACACACATGTACACATACACACACATACATATAGACGTACACATACATACACTTATATAAACACATACACACACACACACATACACACACACACACATATAAACACAAATACACTTACACACACATGCACACACACTTATATACATGAGAACATGTACGCACACACACACGCCATCTTCTCACTGCTTCTCTGTTTCTTCTCATTAAGGCTCTGCTTCACAACCCAAAGAGGTGGAGCCAGCTGTGGAGGAGGAGCCAAAAGAGGTTTGTCGCTTGTGATTGGCTGATTCTTCAGTTTGGAGAAAACATGATTAAGGGCTGTAGTAGATTCAGACATCCTTCCTGATAATGAGGTGAATGATATTGTGTGTGTGTGTATGTATGTGTGTGTGTGTGTGTGTGTGTGTGTGTGTGTGTGTGTGTGTGCGCGTGCGTGCGTGCGTGCGTGCGTGCGTGCGTGATGTGCTAATGTGTGTGTTTTGTTTTCAGCAGAGCCGCAGGGGTCGACGCTCCGCAGCTCAGACTAGAGACACTCCAGCGGGTAAGTGATGAAATTACACACACACACGCACACACACACACACACAGATTCAGAATTTCACATTTCATTTAGTGTGTTACTTGTAAGATATA